GCACTTGAACTTTCAAGTTCAGTAACGTCAGGTCACGTATAAATGTTTTTTTTTTTTTCAATTGATGTTTCAAACTATGAAGGTAATTCTGTCCCCTCTACTGCCATAAGATGTTTAAAGGCAGACTATTATCAAACATACTTTTGGAGGGCTCATTTTTAAAATTTTATTGTCAACAATATAAAATCATGCAAACTTGACAGAATGGTCAAAATCCTAACTCTTTACGTTTGAATTGTATGCTGTTGGAGCCAATAAAGTGTTGGTCCAGTGGTTAAGGACCTTGCTGAGGCTCTGAGAAGTCCCATGTTTGAATCATCCACCCCAAATATCAAAGAGAAAATTGTATGCTATTGGAAATGTTTGCAATTTCTTTTATCTCAAAATTAAGAAAGTTATGGGAATATGATTGAATTAATTTATTTGTTATAAAAGTGATGCATATTATGACCTTATAGACATGTACAATATGTGGCTTTATGGAATTAGGCTGTAGATTTTGAAGTTCTGGAGACATTTTTATCTTATATTCTCTTATTCCATTTTGCACATGGAAGCAATTACTGAGTTAGATGGTTTGTTTTTTCTCCCTTTGTGTGACAGTGAGTTGTTGCAAAGCGAGTTTCTCAATGAACCAAGGGATTACCTGGAAGAACATGAAGCAGCAATTGAGCTTAGGGAGAAAATTGAGGAGCAGGAGTTGCTGCTTGAATTCCTTGTGGTTTTGCAACAAAGAAAACTGGAAGCTGCCAATAGATTGCATGATACTGTTTCTTTTCTGTTTTCTGATATTGAAGAAGTTAAGAAGCAACATGCAATTTTAAAGAAAAAGGGAAGCTCGCAAACAGAATTCTTGAAGGATGACCACTCTATGTCAAGTCTTCTCTCGATTAACATTGTTGATAATGAAGATTCTTCTAGCTTGGTGTATAGAAAAAGATTCAGACCAGGACTTCTGACTTACAATATAGAAGAATGTGTTGATAGTCTAGACTGTGATCCAAGGTCAGAAGCACTCACCAAAAATCAAGAAAATATTCTCCTGAGAGGTTCTCAATTGATGAAGAACTTTAAGAAATTAGAGTCAGCATATTTCTTGACGAGATGTACGCCAGTCAAACCTTTAAGGAAACCATCGATTAGACATTCACCAGTAAATAGTGATGGCCGAGGATCTGTTGTTCTGACTGAAAGAAGTTCAGTCAATAATTTGACCTCAAAAGAGCAGCATATTGAGGGCACAGATAGTGGATGGATAAATCCTTTCCTTGAGGGTTTGTGCAAATATCTATCTTTCAGCAAGTTAAAAGTTAAGGCAGATTTGAAGCAAGGAGATTTGTTAAATTCCTCCAACCTGGTGTGCTCCCTGAGTTTTGATCGTGATGGAGAATATTTTGCCACAGCAGGTGTAAATAAGAAGATCAAAATATTTGAATGTGATACAGTGATGAATGAAAATCGTGATGTTCACTATCCTGTGGTTGAAATGGCGAGTCGGTCAAAGTTAAGCAGCATATGCTGGAATAGTTATATTAAAAACCAACTTGCTTCAAGTAACTTTGAAGGTGTGGTGCAGGTAGGAAAAGCATTCGCATATTGTTGATTTTTCTTCTGTCTGTTTCATTGTTTTAAAATCAAATTATTTAACAACTTCAGGTGTGGGATGTTACAAGAAGTCAAGTACTCATGGAAATGAAAGAGCATGAGAAACGTGTATGGTCCATTGATTTCTCCTCAGTGGTTCCAACATTGTTGGCGAGCGGGAGCGATGATGGCTCTGTCAAGCTATGGAATATCAATCAGGCAATTCTATTTTTGCACTTGGTGGATGTCAGCTTTGAAACTAAACGTACTGCAGTGATCTAATTTGTTCGTATGTATGCTTTATACTGGGTGTGTGATTAGTTTTTTTCCTCTTATTTGGGTTGCTACTGCAGGGAGTAAGTATTGGTACCATCAAAACAAGGGCCAATGTTTGTTGCGTCCATTTTCCTTTGGATTCTGGTCGATCTCTTGCATTTGGTTCAGCAGATCAAAAAATTTATTACTATGATCTTCGAAACACTAGAATTCCTCTTTGCACCTTAACTGGGCACAAAAAAACTGTGAGCTATGTCAAGTTTGTTGATACAACCACACTTCTTTCTGCATCAACGGATAATACCCTAAAGCTTTGGGATCTGTCAATGAGCACATCTCAAGTGATTGATGCTCCCCTTCGTTCATTTACAGGCCACATGAATGTAAAGGTAAATTGTTTTATATCTAGGATTTATACAAGCTTTTTGATCACAAAGGCACAAACCTTATTTATCCAAATATATTATTTTCTTCCTGTATTAATAAGATGCCCATACAAACATTTAGCTTGAGAGACATAAAATTGTAGAAGTTCTTTACTTGAAATCTAAGGTCATGAAATAAGTTGTTTATGCTGATAGAAAATAATCTATAGTTAGGTATTTGTGCTTGAGACCTTTTAATTGTATGGTCAATATCATTACTTATTTGTACTGGGAAGAGAAGGAAATTAAAAATAAATAGAAGAAGAAGAATATGTATTCTGCAGTTACCATCATATTAAAGTGAAGTTATTAATATTCCATATGCTATGCACATGAGTGTGAGGCAATATTACTTTGGTATGCTAAATTGCATGGATTTTCATTTAACTCTTTCTTGTCAAGTGCCCATGTATCTCAAGAATACTTTCTCTTGTGGTATTTTAAATCTGCCGATGATTTATATTCAGAGTGCATCCAATTTACCAATGTTCTCCCTGACGCAGAACTTTGTAGGCTTATCAGTGTCTGATGGTTACATTGCCACTGGCTCAGAAACTAACGAGGTAATCCATGAATGACCCCTAGAAGCGCATAGATTCATCTCTGTTGATAGCAATGCCATAATATGTTGACTAAGATTAAGGAAGTGGTATTTTTTCTTTTTCTTTTTTTTCTTTTTTCTGCTTAAAACTTTAGTCTGGGAAAACCAGTTGTACTTAATGAAGTCATAATGTGAAGTCTGCCTTAATAGGAAACTCCATCCCATTTCTAAAACATCCTTTTTGTTGATTAATGCATTCATCTCTCTGGTTGAGGCTTCATTCATTTATTCAACTAGACAGTAAAGGCCACTTAGATCAATCTGCGTGAATATAATCAAACTACTTTTCATTTTTATTTCTAAAACATCAGTGTTGACATAATTCTTAGTATCATCAAAGTATTGTTAGATGTAGCATGATAGTTACAAGAGAATCACAATTATAGAATGATTGATTTGGATGTGTAGTTGATAAAAAGTGCATCCTTCATGTTGCATGTTTGTACTTGTCTGATATTCAAACAAGAAAAATCATGATGTCAATTCTCTTCATGTATTGATGAGAACTGAGATATTGATGCTCTGCAGTTCTCTTCCTATGCAATAATCCAAGACATCTCTTTGCAGCTGCATGTGGACAGGGATGACTCTGAAATTCAAGTGTAATTTTGTGTTTTAACACTTATTCTTATGAGCAGGTGTTCATCTACCACAAGGCTTTCCCCATGCCAGCATTTTCATTCAAGTTCAACAGCACAGACATGTCATCAAGTCAAGAAGTAGATGATCCCATGCAGTTCATCTCATCTGTTTGTTGGCGTGGCCAGTCTTCTACCTTAGTTGCTGCAAATTCTACTGGAAAAATCAAAATTTTGGAGATGGTATAGTTTGGAGTCCTCTACTCTCCGAAACCATAATTTTTGGAAACAGAATGGAAGGGTTTTGGTCCTGGTTGCTAGAGGATTGAACAATGACAAGAATCATGTTACAGGAGTTCAAAAGGGTATATAGCAAATTTAGAAAACAATTTTTGGCAGTAGATGATAGTTGATAGCAGATGCTAATAAAATATAAGAGTATAGATTTATCAATCTGTGTGGATAAAATACAAAGAGGAAAACAGACGGATAAGAAAACACTTTCTCCTGTATATTTTGTAATGATTATAGCTCATAATCATTTTTTGCGTTGTTACCCTTTAGAATTCAGATGCCGTGTGTATGTCATTGCTTGATACTGGACTGTCCAGGAGCTTCCTCACACAAAAACCAAATTCATCTTCAGAACACTGATATAGGATTCAAATCTTCATATTTTTACAGGTTGGATGAGTTTTTCAGCATGAAGAAAAACCAAATAGACCTTCATGATTTGTGCATGTCCTACATTGGTGATGGTTAGGTACTAGAATCTAGGATGGTCATCTGGCAGCATCCAACCACAGTGGAGTGATCTCTCAGGAACTCAGGATGATAGTTGAGTGGTCCTTGTCTCTCTTCTTAAAGGTGACATGAAGGGTAGGGCAGGTGGTGGTTGCAAGAAAGCCTAGTTTTAGGGGCCTTCTCGATTATGACATGGAACTAAAACCATAGCCCAAAACAGAGGACATACGCTGCAGGGTGGGAAGAATGTATCAAATGTTAGATTGATTCAGAATTTCAGATGCACCAAATGGAACATTCATTTCCTAAACCATTGGACCAACAGCGACAGCAAAACTGATCTCCTAAACCATTTTCTTCATTTCTACCTTCTTTGCTAGGCATTGGATCAACAGCAAAAGCGCAGAGCAGAGCACAGCAAGATCAAACTTCTCTATAAAGGATTATACAAAGAAAACGAAAAAGATAACCAGCCCTCAATGCTATGGAACTATATAAATGTTTTCAGAGGAGACCAACATAATCCTCAAAATATCAATGTCTCTGTGTGTGATACAATATATCTGAATTATTTCCTGTAGAAAGTTGTGGAAGTATGATTAAGACCTATCAGAAGAAGGGTATTGTGTACCACCCTGGACCTTCTAAAATAACTAAAATTTTGAATTCCTATTCTTTTAGGGGTAGGACACCTTTACTTATCCTGTGTTCATGGTGGGAGCAACTCCCCTCATAAAAAATGTTTCCACCAGAAACGATTTTCCCATCTATTACCTGGCCCAAAAAAATAGTATTCTGTGAATCATGAAATCTATTTACACTGATCTTCACCAAGATTTGCTCTTGCGGCTAGCCTAGCTACAAGATTGCTGAGCCTTTGAGCTCCTGGACCTGGCATGATCCTGGTTTGGTCCCCAACCTCGGAACACTTTGGCATACCAGAGCACCAACCACCAGGAGTGAAGCTTTGCTTCTGTCGACCAAGTAATTCCTCATCAATCTTATCCAAGACTGGGTCATCTTGTTTGAACTTCCGAGCAAAGGCAGCATTACTTGCAATCATCTTGTTCGTGTCATTAAGGGAAAGGACATGTGGGTGCTGTTTAGGGGGTATATCCCAAGAGATATAATGCAAATCATGATTTGCAACAGTCCGAGAGAACTCTGGAGCATTGCATATGACTGTCTGAAAATATCCTTCTGGGGAAGACACAAAATTTGTGTAGTACATGAGGAGGGTTCTTGGTAGATTATCCCAACCCCACACACAATACTCCACAAATGACCGTGACAGGACCATCCATGCTGAACCTGCAATCAAATGGGGGGGCATCATAAATCAGTACATTGCCAATTTCACAGATTGAAAGCAAATTTAAAACCTAGGGAAGGGGTTCAAGCAATGTGGATGAAGGCAATTTATTGATTCCAACTTCAAATGCTGAATATATACGCAAGGCACTGCCATAAGTCAATCCAATATTCAGGGAAAACTCAAAAGAGAAAAAGAATCAGAAGCATAAATCTTTTTCACAGAACCTAACAGAGTTAATAACCAAGTGCTCTTTAGAAGTGCTTCTAATCATAATTGAGAACTAAAAAGGATAAAGAATTTACTTGAGAATTTTAATTCTCATAAATATCTATTTGTAAAGAATCAGACAATGCTGAACTATCTAATTAAGAAATTGAAAAACAAAATTGGGTGACCAAGTCAATACTAACCAGTAAATAATTTGAATGCTGTTGGTAATGTTCTCCTCGGTGTAACCCAAAATACATCTGATTTGGTCGACATATAGAGGCCAGGATCAATCATCAATGGCATCGCTCTTTTGTCTCTGCAGAATTCAATCAAATTTTTTCAGTATAGTAACATAGAAATCTAACTATAAGAGAGAAATAAAGAGACAGCTTACGCTTTCCAACCCAGCTCGCTTGTATGCTCAACAAAATTAAGGTCCCGATTTAATCTTGAAAATGTATAAAGAAGATCTGCAAATTACAAGATAATTTATCAATGGCTTTCCACCATAACTATCCAATTCCAAACTTAGAGAGAAATGGAGAAGAGAAGAAAAATTCATGGGAGACTAACTTACCATCTTGCGTCACAAGAGGATAATCTGAGGCACTGAGATTGATAAACCAATCCCACTCTGCACTTCTCTTGATAAGATTGGCACAAGCATGAAGAGTGTTGGCAACCATTGTTGGTCCTGTATAAGTAACCAAATTAGCCTTAGTGATCATGTAAACGTTCCCAACTTTGGAGAACATTGTGTTGTTTCTAATTCGGGAAAAAAGTTCCATTCTTTCCTCAGCTGGTGACTCAAGGTCCAAATGCACAACATATTGGTTCCGTGGATGATACAGCGCGTGAAGAGTTCTCCAAAGTTTTTCCAGGTCACCTTTTGACCCAGAAACTAAGTAAGCAAAACGTGGAACTGCAGGAACAGGAAGGGGCGGAGATTGATTGATCTTCGATTCAACATAACTTGGCTTTCTTTCGTTTATTGACATACTGGATGGGAAAAGTGAGAAGATGGAATTGATTCTGCGAACTTTAGAGACAAGACCCATATTGAAGGAAGTTGCAAGAAGGAATATACACATGAGAGAGCTGATCACTAGAGGGAATACCCATTTCTTCTCCATGTTCATTGACATCATGGGATTGGGATCCAACAAACAATCTTTCCCAGTTCAATTTTTCTCATTCCCAGTCCAAGAAACCCTCATCCTCAGATTCTCCAACATAAAAGATTGACAAGAATTCTTGATCTTCAAATGAAGACCTTCCCCCTTATCATGTATTCCCAAAAAGAGGACCTTGAATGGCTGCTAAATGAAAAAAAAAAAAAAAAACACATTAAGACTAGTTTATCACCCCAAAACAAATTATATAATAATTATTACATCTTGTTATATTCATTCCCACTAAACAAAGAAATCGAAACTCAGAAGAATGAAAATAAAAAAACAGGAAAGGCATGAAAGATACCAAAAGTAAAAGATATGTGAAAGATATGGTGAACAAGGGAATGAAGAATAGACGAAAAAGAACCAGACAAAGATCAACACTTACTTAAAGCACCAATTAAAAAATGGAAATATTAGTTAAATATGCTTTGTCAATTAGCTACCATGTTACCTGGTTTTCTAAGAAACCCTTTAGAAAAAGACATAATTGCTTCAGTCTCACAATGCCTCGCACAAATCTAATGGTCGAAAACAAAAACCCTAATCAGAAAATTGCCACATAGACTAACAGATTCACAAGTGGGGGAAAACAACAGCAGAGCAAGAACAAAACAGAAAAACCCACATCAAGGAAGGAGAAACAGAACCCAAATCCAAGCTTTTCAGCTGCAAATCATTCAACTAGACATGGGAAATGGGGAATTGGGGGAAAATAAAAGCTGCGGAGGAATCCAAAAGCCATGGATTATGCAGCAAGAACGGCACAAATAATGAAACAAAACTGTGCAAAGCTCAGAGAACGTAAATAAAGCTTTTAAATGGGAACATCAGTCATGAACATAACATGAAAGGGTAAACACTAACGTAAGGGTTTGGAAAGAGAGAGAGAAACAAACCTGGCTTGGACGTTGGGACAAGAGCTAGATCCCTGCACGTTTCGGAGAAAGAGAGTGTGAATGAAAGGGAAAAGGAGTTGCTTCCGTGAAGACGCGTGT